CAAGTCAGGATGGCAGTTGTTCAGATGGGAAAATTGAAGGACCAGCCAGTCCTGTTTTAAAATGAAGTACGCAATCACGCCCTCTCCATCTTCGGGATATGGGGTGTACATTATATGGGGGGAGGGGGACGGGGTAACCGCTAACCGATAATCCAAGATTTATCGATCGATCTGTTTCAGTGCTGATGACGGCCATCAATTGTATATCAGTACGTATCGCAACGTTCGTACAGGACTTCTTCACTGTAGCAAAGGTGTTCGCTTTAGTGCTGATTATTGGTACCGGAATGGTCTTATTGATGACAGGTACGGCACCGCATACTGTACTTTTACCTGTAGAAAACGATACATTGACATCTATTGCAGGAAGACCAGAATATCGTGAATCATTCGAGAACATTTTTGAAAACAGCTCCAAAGATTTCTCCACACTATCCATTGCATTCTACTCAGGGCTATTCGCATATTCCGGATGGAATTACTTGAACTTCATCGTTGAAGAGCTGCAAAATCCTAAGAGGTTAGCCGTTCTGTTCAAGCGCTACTAGTATTCTACTCTTATAAGTTACGTTAGAAAAATACCTCACTTCTGGGGCAGAAAGCCATCGCATAAAAGGAAATATCGTCGAAACCTTCTAGCAGTAGAAAAGATGGATTTTTATCGAAAAGTCAGACCAAACCGATAAAGAGGGCGGAGCTTTTCTTATTGCGTCTGGGAAGATGAACTAATCTCCGATAGCCGTACCACAAAGGCAGTCCCAGCACTCAAGCAATTCGTAGGCGTCGTTCCTTGGGCAAGTCCTCAGTCTCCATGATTATCCCACTTCCTCACCTCCACAGTACGCAAACAAGGCACTGCAACCTCATACGTCGCAGTTCTGACGCCTCCCTAGTTGCCCGCCCTTCACATTCGAAGGCTGTTTTCTGTTGTAACAAGAACAAGAACTAAAACAGCTTTGGAGCTAATTCCTGTCATTTTCTGTCAGTTTTTATTCGGTCATTTTGCCGGTATAAAAAGAGCAGATCAGGAAAACTCGTACAATGAGGCTGCTAGAGGTCCTTACTTGAAGTGTTTCCCATGATTTTTTTGTCTTTTGCTCTCTAACGAGTAAACTTTAAATTCGTGATTTGATAGCCCTATCTGCTGTACCGTGGGTGGTTGTCCTTCCAGGGCAGCATTCGTTGTTTGGATCCACTCATACATGAGGTGGGGTGGTATTTGGGCCTAGGAAAATTTATTTTGATAGTCGATTTTTCTTGTTTCACGGACGTTGTAAACGGCGAGGGGTCGTATTTCCCTTCTGAGCTTCTGCGAGAGGTTGCCGACTTTCGTGATTTTTTTTCCTGTTTCATGTGTACTATACTGCCACCTTCCTCGCACCCCCCACCTCCCCCGCTCGACAGCACAATTTTTGGGAAAAAGTTGAAAATTTTCGGGAAATTTCGGGAAAAAAGGTAGGAATTCGGGGAAAACCTGAAAAATGGTAGAGGGGCCGTATTTTCCTCGCGGCTTTTCCAATTCACATGTGCTATTTACCCCGCTCCCCGCTCGACAGCTGAGGAGGGAACCAGAGAGGGTAGTGTAGCAACTTTTTAAAAAAGGGGGGAGGTCGTACAGTCTCGACCAAAATCCCCAACCAATGATGTGCCCTGGTTGTCCCCGAGTGGAGACAAAGGATTAGATAGGGTTTGCTGGGAAACCTTGCTGCAAGTGTAGTCACGCGCGCGTTATTCGCACCAAGACCTGTTTAATTGTGCGTGCATTTGCCGCAGCAGTTCGGCTATACAAAATTAGGAAATAATACGCGCCACCGCAGAGGGTTCTTCCTGGACGAGACCTGATTTTGAGATTTTTGATTTTTTTCCACCCCTCGCGTCAGTGCTTGCATTGGACCTTACATCAGTCCTCGGATCTCACTGGTAACTAGCACAAATAAAAAATACGCTAAAAATTCAAAATTTTCAGGAATCTCCCATTGGCGATAGCAATTTCGATCTCAACCTGTACCATAATCTATGTACTCACCAATATCGCTCTCTATACAGCTATTTCACCAGATGAAATGCTCGAAAGCCCAGCGGTAGCTGTGGTGAGTGAACAATATCGTGTTTTTTTAAATATTATTTTTCCCACAAACCTATGTGCGTTGAAGGAAAATAGTGATCTTTGTCAGTGGAAAAATTTAAAGTCCTTGGAAAAATAACTGTTTAAGGTCTTTGCAAAACAATGATTTCAATTTTTTTTGGTTTTTCGCTCTAAATTTTTTTCACAGGTATTCTTTTATTGCAGCTATTCGCCAACAAACTGTTCGGTCCATTCGCATTCTGTATGCCACTGTTCGTTGCCTGTTCAACCATTGGATCATTGAATGGAGTGATTTTCACTTCTTCGAGGTGAATTTTTCGGTGGATTGCGGGCTAAGTGGGCGGTGGGTTGCGCAATGCGATTTCCTTATCAGAGAACCCTTTCAGATTATTCTATGTCGGAGCTAGAGAGAATCAGATGCCTCTAGTACTCACGATGATTAACAAACACACCCGGACACCGATTCCAGCAGTGATAGTAACCGTGGGTTTCTTGCTTTTACAAATTTAATTGACGCAGAGATTGTCCATGGCAAGAAAGAAGCGGAGTTTCCCTTCGAAATGCTCACGCTCTTCCGGCGGGTACAGCATCGTGATGCGTGATGGTGCGTAACGGCACCCTTTTCGAGGAGGGTCTCGTGCGAACCCTGTCCCTTCTCCAACACCTACCTACCACTTTTCTACAAGTTCTTGGCCTCTTAGCACTTTTTCACCCAGAGATCTTCCGTCGAACGAAGGGCATATTATTGGTTGAGGATTTTGGTCGGGTCCGAAGGACCCCCCCTTTCTTTGAGGGGGGGGGGGGTGCGATCCCCCCCCTGGTCTCCTGCTTTATTCGAGTCATCCAAACGGGAAGGGATATGCTATAACATGAATCGAAAAACCCACAAAAAATCAGCAACCTCTCTCTCAGAAAATTAGATGACATTTACGACCCCTACGCTCACAACAACGAACCATTACGACTCCTCCCCCTTACAATCGTCCCTGAAACAAGAAAAGTCAACTGTCAAAAAGATTTTTCTCAGGTCAAGTACGACCCCCTCTCCCTCGCGACCAATTACGATCCCCCCCCCTCCCCTGCTGGGGAATTTCAACAACGATGGGGCCCGCGGTCGAACAGCAAGAGAGTAGAGCACCAGTGAAACGGGAAAAACCGCGTAAAGTCACAACCGGGAGAAATTTTTTTCAACGCGGCAAATCTTTCTCAAAGGCACATGCGACCTCCCCCCTCTCCCAGCAACGACCAAGTTCGACCTTCCCCCCCTATGTGTTTCAATACAACGGATTGCTGGTTCCTGTTTTGGACTTGCTTGAAGGGGGAGGAGCTTTGTGATCATGTAATAGCTATTTTTTAGGGAGGTTTGGCACTCGGCTACCTCGTTTTATCGAAGAATGTCTACTCTCTTATCAACTACATTCAAGTCACATACTTTCTGGCAATCGGAGCCGCCATAGCTGCCCTGTTCTATTTACGGAAAACAATGCCGAATGCCGAAAGGCCCATCAAGGTATAGCACTTTTTGATGCCCTTTGGGAGCTACTCCACAACTGATCCCAGTTCAAAGGAAGCTGTCTGTGGTGACACAGATGCCTCGACAGGGTCTGTGCAGACAGGGTCGTTATTCAGAGTTGTTACTGTTGATTTTCTTAGTAACAAGTAATGAGCAGAGCAGCAGTAATACGTCCTATACCTAGCAACGTGTCAATAACCTGGCGATATTCTACAGTTACATCCTCTCTTTTGCAGGTCTCCTTGATATGGCCAACGATCTTCATGGCTGGTTGCGCAGCTTTAGTGATAATACCGATTATGGCTGCTCCGAAAGATACTGGTAAGATATCCATTGCCAGTCCTGTTGCATCTTTTCTTAATTCACGTTTTTCTCTATTTACTCTCCCACTGAGGTTCATCAAAGGCGGCTATGAGGATAGGCATCGATTTTGCGCGTGTGCATTCGATAGAAGTTGCTTTTGGTGATATTTTATATCAATATTTCAGCGATCGGTTTAATGATTATGCTGACCGCCGTGCCTGTCTACCTCATTTTTATCGCATGGAAAAACAAGCCCAAATGTGTAGACTCTTTGATTGGTTCGTTGATTATTATTTGTTTCTAATATTTTTTTGAGATAGGCCTTCAGCTTCTGACCATAAACGATAGCCTATACCCGGAACGATCGGTCGCAGCACAGTAACTCAGGCGCACTGACACAACAGTACTCCGATTTCTTACGACTACATGTATACGCTCATGACCAAAAGTAGAAACGTATACAGTTAAGCTGCGTTCATACTTTGCGGCAGCGTCCACCAGCGACCAATAGCGTCCACCAGCGTTCCAAGCGTCGGCAGCGTCAGTGACTAGAAAGAATAGATATCGGTCTACCGAATGGAAGCGCCTACCAGCGTCCACCAGCGAACATCAGCGCCCGAGATACTAGTTAAGTATGGATATCGATCTAGCAGTGTCAGCGTCCTCCAGCGGCCACCAGCTTCCAGGAACGTCCAGGTACTGTATAGTACGGTGCGGTTGCACCGCCACAACTTCACGACACTTGAACCATCTGTCTTCTCCCTCCAACTTCCTCATATCTACCAGCAGTCTGCTTTCCTCCTACATCCTCATAGTTCGCTGGTGCACGCTGGTAGACGCCAAATTGATAACACTTCCCTAGTAGCTAATGCTGACGGCCGCTCGAAAAGCCGATGGTCGCTGGTGGACGCTGCCGCAAGGTATGAACGCAGCCTTACAGATGTGAGTCATGACCCTTGTCGCAACCACGTGCCTGGAGGGATACTTCATGTCCACTCTTAGCCAAAAATGTTGGGTCGGATGCTTTTTTCCTAGAAATTCTTGTGCACTTTGACAGAGCTATTTCCCAGTATGTGCGTTTGGGAGAAATTTGCTGCGTTGAGAAAAATTTTTTCTCGGTTGTTGACTTTTCGCCTGTTTCATGTGTACTACCCTCCCCAGGGAAAATTTTTGGGTGAAAAACTGGAAAATGTGGGGAATTGGTAGGTAGGTATTGG